AGGTAGATAACTATGATTAAAAAAAGCTAGATAGTTATAGAAAGAGTTAGATAGTTATAATTATATAGCAAAGCTAGATATTTATGATTATAAGAGGAGTATTTAAGGTGGATAGAATAAGATGATATAGAATTAAATAAAGTCAAAAATTTCAATATATATTGTATATTTGAGATTTGGGAATCCTAGAATTGGGAACTGAAATCTGAGATTGTATGAGGTTAAATGAAAAAGAGAGGAGAGACGAGGAGAGGAGAGGGAGAAAAGGGGCGGAAAGGGGAAAGAAGAGATGTAAAAGAGAAAAGTGTTGAATATTGGATTTTGAGTTTTATAGATGCTGATGGGAGGGTAAGTAGATGATATAAGTCAACTACCCCACTTTCCGACCACCCCCTCTTTTCGACCACCTCGAAAACCACACCGCTTTGAGTAATTATAAAATTTACACTTTAAATAACTCAACAATGCTTTAATCAATTAATTTGAAATTTTGATATTATCATAATTGTGATATAAAGAATAGATATATCAAAGAAGATATCGCAGAGGTTTTTAAAGCAATTACAAATAGAGTAAGTATACAAAAAGCTAGCTTGGATTATGGTGTTCTACATACCACATTTTATAATCGAATATATAATAGAGTTTCACATCAAAAAGGTGTCCAAATACTTCAAAAGTTATCTCCAATTCAAGAGAATCAATTAGTAGAATGGATATTAGTATAGGAAGCTCTTAATACTAGCCCTATACATCATCAAATCAGAGAGATGGCAGAGCACCTCCTTATTGTATAAAAAGAGGATTCCTTATTTGGAAAGAAATAAATATATAGCTTTTTTCAAAAGCATCCTAATATTGGAACTAAAAAGCAATATCAAATCGATTCTACACGAGTTTCAGGTACTATATCTGATATTATTAAGAAGTGATTCTGGAACCTCACAATCCCTGAAATCAAGGTTATTAAGCTGGCCAATAGATGGAATATGAATAAAGCAGGTATAATAAAGGGTTAGGGTTTTAATGAACTAATAATAGAAAGCACTAATCAAAGATTTATTCAAAAAAAGCAATCTGGATCTCGAATTTGGACCTCTTTTATAGAATACATTTCAGCCAATGGAAAAAGCATTACTCCCCTTATAATATATAAGGGAAAATCAGTTCAACAATAATAATTTCCAACCGATTTGATTCTATTTAAGAGTTGGAACTTTACCGCTACAAAAAATGAATAGACTACAGATACTACAGCTTTAGAATGGCTGAAAAAGATCTATATCCCTCAAACTACCCCTATTCAGCCAGAAAATTCAAGACTCCTCATTTTAGATGGATACGGAAGCTATGAAACTACAGTATTTATATTAGAATGCTTCAATAACAACATATATCTCTTATTTCTCCCATTATATATATTACACGTATTACAATCACTCGATTTATCTATATTCTTACCCCTAAAAAGTGCATATCGAATTGAATTTAATAAATTAAGTCTATTATCCGATTTCTCATCAATTGGAAAGCGCAATTTCCTTTCTTGCTATCAGAAGACTAGAATAAAAGATTTAACTATTCAAAATATCAAGTCTGAATGGTAAGCTAATAGTCTTTGGCCCAAAAATATAACTAAACCTCTTATAAATCGACTTTTGCTTGAAAATAGCAATAAAGAGGTTTTATTACTTAATCCTGAATCTAATAATAATCCTATTTTTCAATAGAATATACATTTATTATTTATTCAATGAAAAACCCCTCAAAAAGGAGCTGATATCAGAAAATATAGAGATATAATGATTCAAGAGAAGGAGATCGATTTGCTAACACAAAGATTACTATTTCGCAAGATTATAAAAGGATTCGATACTAAGGATTATAAACTCTTAGAGGTAGAGAATAAGATTAGAAAGCTAGAATATCAATTAGATGAAGCATTACCTAGAAAAAGGCGAAAGGTTGTGGTATCTCCAAATTCGAAGTTCGCAGGGATTAGAGCTATAAGGTGTACACAAATTGAAGCGGGAGATTGTGAAATTGAGGGAGATGATAGCTCTAGTGCTATAGAAAGTGATTCTACAGGCGATTTTATTGAAGTTCAATAGTTATTGAGTTATTAAAGTTTTAAGTGTAGATAATATGATTTTTTTAGGTGGTCGGAAACAGGGGGTGGTCGGAAAGTGGGGTAGTTGACTTAGAGATGGAGATAGAGTTGGAGCTGGGGGTGGAGATTGTGTTTTGGTGATTGTAATGTTTGATTGGAGATGGAAGAGGAAGAAGGGAAGAGAATGTTGGAAAGGGGAGAAGGTATAGGGATGAGGTTTGAGGTTTAATTCGGTATAAAAAATTGAGAATAAATAATTGAAAATTTGAAGTTGGAAGAGGGGAGAGGGGAGGGATAGGTATAAGTATAAGAATAAGAATAAAGAATGAAGAATAGAGGAGGTAAATGTAAAGATGTGAATATATAAGAAGATTCTGGGGAGGGGGTAGTCTGCTTATAATTAGGATTGGATTTAGGTTTGGGTTTGTAGTATCTGAATGGAGAGAATGAGAAAGGGGGAGAGGATGAGAATAGAGTATTCGGAGAAGAGGGAGTGGAAATAGAGGATAGAGGGTTTGAAATAAGATAAATAGGGTATGAAAATATAAGGATATAAGTTTAAAATTCAAAAATCAATAGAAGAAGAAGAGGAAAGAGAGAAAAGTATTAGTTCGAGAAGGATACAGAAGACGTAGCACCCACGTATTATAGATTCTGTATGTCTAATTATATTCTATCTAAAGAGCTAGCTATGTAGGAAAGTAGTAGGCCTTATATAGACACTACTGAAAGAGCTAGTCTCTTTCGCATTTGCTTAATCCTTTTAATATAATAGTCATTGTATTGAAGTTATTCCTTTGAAGTGAATACTCTTGTTCACATAGAAAGAGAGGAAAGAGAGAAAGAGAAAGAGGAGAGAATATCTAAATATCTCAAAATCTCAAAATCTAATAAAAAAGAGAAGAAGAAATAAAGGTATATAATAATTCAATTAGAAGAAAAAAGTGTAATAAATTTTTATCTATATAAAAGAGAGTATATGAGTATATGTATAAAAGAGAGAATTGAAGTATTTGGGTCAGTTTTATATTTTATTTTACAGTTGTAGTTATAGATGAAGATGGAGATGGAGATGAAAATGAAGATAGAAATAGAAATAGAAATAGAAATAGAAATAGAAATAGAAATAGAAATAGAAATAGAAATAGAAATAGAAATAGAAATAGAAATAGAAATAGAAATAGAAATAGAAATAGAAATAGAAATAGAAATAGAAATAGATATTACACATATCATATACATACTCTATTACGGCGCTAACTATATAATCTGTAGTTGTCTTCGTGTCTTAGGTATAGACTACTAGCTTGTTCTATTTTCTATAAGTAGAGCCTTACTCTTTTATAGCTCTTCTATTCTTATAGTATAATATAAGTCTTTACTCGTACCTTGATATACTCATACACTCATAAACATATATATAAACACATGTTATCAAATAATCATAAACATATATATACTCATAAACATATATACAAACACATATCATCAAATAATCATAAACATATACATATATATATTGATAAATATCCCTAAACAAATACCCCTTAACATATATACATCCTCAAACATAGAAACATATACACATTACAAACCCCCTAGATATAAAGATTTTAGATACTATATCAATTACCTAACTAACTGATTAACTGATTAACTGATTTACTAGATAGAATAGTAGATAAGTAAGTAGTCAAGTAAGTAGATATATATTCAACTACCTAGGTACCTATTGTCTACCTACGACTTAAGAATAGTATATCTAATATAGTATAGTATAGTATAATATAATCTAGTATAGTATAATATAATATGAATAGTACGCACAGTACAGCCCACAGGTATCTAAATCAAATCTAACCAAACCAAACCAGTTAGACCAAGCGAACCAAACCAAACCAAAGCAAAAAGCACAATCCATCCATTCATTCATTCAATTCATTGAATTTGATTCATATACCATGCCACGCCATGTCATATCATACCATGCCCTATCATACCCTATCATATCCTATCATATGCTATCATATCATATCATATCATATCATATCATATCATATCATACCATATCTAGTATGTATGTATGTATGTATATGATTCATAAACCCCTCATTTTATCTCATCTCATCTCATCTATTTAACTACATACAAGGGAGGAATCTCTGCCCATATCTCTGCCCATATCCACACCCCATTACTCATAATCCATAACCCATAATCCATAACCCATTACCTATCACCCATTACCCATCACCCATTGCCCATCTGTCTATTGATTGATATGACATGATACAATGAACATCAACGATTTACATCAAAGACAGAAAGACAGACCCAGTCGTTACTAATGCATAACATCCATAGCAAAAACCACTCTAGAGAAAAGAGTTCCGAATGGGAAGGAAGAAAAAGTTTTCTCTTGGGGTGGGATGAGTGATGAGAAGGAAAAGGAAAAGGAAAAGGGAAAGGAGAAAAATCTGCTCTCTGGATTCAATTCTGATAGTTCTTTTCGTTTTCGAGAGAGAGAGAGAGCGTGAGAAGAGAAGAAGAAAAGAGAAGAGATGTACCCAACCAATTTATTAACTGACTTGACTGACAAGTCAAAAATTAGCTTTGATTGAACATTACATTTCTCCGAGGTTGGACCATCTCACGATGATTATGAAGAAAAAAGTTTAGGAATGAAGTATTTTTGTCTTTGTTTGGCTATCCATGCATCCATGCATCCATCCTCATGTCAAGCCCTCCTATCCATCTCCATCTACCACCTGCACAAGAGCCAGAAATGATATCCCAAAGCAAAATTAACGAAAGCCAACCAGCGCGTTAAATTGATGTCGAATCTCGAATCTCAAATCGAAAAGTATAAGACGCCACCGAAAAAAAGCTTCTAAACATTATCGGAACGAGAAATGGGTCCATGAGTATTCAATTCATGACCACCACCCAACTTCTCCTCATGACCTTCCGGAACCACATCTGCGAGTGTTTCATCGGTACCTTGTAAATCTTCTTCGACGGTAACGGTGTCCTTGATTCTCAAAAAGATGACAGGAGCAGCGATGACGCAAGAGACGGAGAGGATAACCCAATTGCTGATGAATTCATCATGGTAGGAAAGTTTCTTCGCATCCAATGCCCACATGACAGCACCGCCAGCTGATTGAATACCCTTGTAAAAACCGACATAATTGGCAGATTTACGACCAGAGTTAGAAAGGGCACCCATGAACCAGTAAACCGATCCTTGCCATGCGGAGTCGAAGAATCCATAGAAGATGTAGAGGAACATAGGACCAATGTATTTTTTACCACCATCAGTCCAGTCGATTGGAACATAGTCTCCGGTAGCTGAGTTGGTGCTCTCACGGGTATAGGTTTTTTCGAAAGCATATCCACCACCCCAAGTAATCATGGTGATGGAGAAAAGGAGAGCGAGAGCGGACTTGGCACGAACCGAACGACGGAAGTTACCGGCATCGAGGCCGAAACCGAAGATGATGGCACCGAAAATTTGTGCAGTCCAGTACAAAACGTTGTTGAGAGCACGAGTACGGGTGTTGAAAACAGCGGCGTTGATTCCATTTTGTTGATAAGTGTAAAACCAATTGGAAGCCCAGAACATGGGGAAGAGGAGGATGATGAATGGTTCTTGAACAATGGTGTCATAAAGACCGATGAATTCGGATTTCCAGGATGGATGTTTCATGAGAACAACTTTGGTACCATCAGGTCGAACAATGTCATCGGCGTTACATAAAAAGAGAGCTAGAACAGCACCGGCGAACATGAGAATGATGAACGCGATGTAAGTTCCATCAGTGACAGTACTGTTGGTCTTGACATTGATATTTTGACCAAGTGGGATCTAAAAGAGTGTTAGTGTGTGATCTTCTGGGATTTATTTGAAGTGGCTGAGTGAGGTCTCCCCCGCCCTGAAACTTCAACAAGGTCAGAGAAGTCGGGGAAAGCAAATCAAGTTATAGCTAAACAGGTTTGCATAGAAAGTGAACGAAAGTGTATCAAAACTTACCAAAGCACCAAGAACAGCACCAAAGTTAAAAACTGCCCAGAAAACACCAAAGTATTTTCCCTTGTCACCTTCATATGGATATGAAACCATGATGGTTCCTTGCGCAGTCCACAATAGACCAGCACAAACACCAAGAAGTGCACCGGCGAAGATGTTAAAGCCACCCACATTTGCGTGAACCGAGGCGAGGAGAGAAATTGCATAAATACAATATCCGATACCACCAAAGGCCAAACAAGTCTTGATACCCAATTTGTTGACGAATGTTCCACCGAAGAAAGCGAAGACTGCAAAGGTGGAGTAGAGAGCGGTGTTCTAAAAAATCTCATGTTAGTAAGAAATTCGTGACTTTGGAAATGTCTTAATTTTATATCGGGAAATTCCATCATCATAAATGTCAAGATAGACAATCAAATTCGAGGAAGTATTAATGTAAAGGATAAATCACTCACCATATGATCTGCAAGAGTTGGATCTGCTTTTCCACCACCACCAAGACCACCAAGCGCATTAAACATACCAGGACAGAGGAAGCAGACGAATGCAACCATGGTAAGTTGAACTCGAGGAGATGCATACCAAAAGGTCATGCCAAGGAATCGACGATGCTTATACTTCCATCCATGCTGATCGACGGCGGTCGTAGGAGTATTGGTGCGGAAATCGACATTATCTTGAACGGAGGCAACCTCTGGGGAATGCGCATGCGCAGCTTCTTTCTCCATATTGAATGGACGAAATGTGGATTATTGTTTGGGGATATTAGGTGTGATTGATATTATTGAGAAAGAGTGTAACGTAAGTTGCGGAATCGATCAGGATGGAAAAGACGGTGGATGGGTGAAGAAGTTATTTGTGGTGGGAGAGATTTTGAGAAGTTGTGGGAAGAAACTCTTATGCAAATTACTTGCTGTGGTAGAGATTTGTTCGAAGGCTTCGTGAAGAAAAGATTCACTCTTAGTGCGTCTTCCAATCCTCGATACGATATGATATGATACGATACGATACGATCCAATCCAATCCAATCACCTTGTTGACCTGTACACAAATAAAAGTGATACAAAAGGTATCAACCCGTTCCAAACCGTAAATCCGTTATTCTGATGAGATTGAACAAATCTACGGTGAATCTTAAGATTTGTCTCGTCTTTTCACAGCCTTGGAAAGTGAATCGGAAATGACAATATATATATTTGGGTCGTTTCAATAAAGTGAGGTCAAAATGAAGTGACGTTGAGGTGAAGTGAAGTGAAGTGAGGTAAGGCAAGGTGAGGTAAGGCGAGGTCAAAGTGATATTATACTTCTCGACCTATGAAGCACTAGCAACAACTACATCGTATATCAACCACGATGCAGTTCTTAAACTACTTATATATGCTGCAGCTGCATCTTCATTCTCAATCCCTACCTGTCCCTGCACTGTGCATCCACAGTTATATTCCCCCATGTTTTTACTCGTACCGGTAGCTATTCGAGATTGGAATAAAATCACCCACCAAGCTGTTCTTGATTTGGTAATAAGTTTGATGTAGTATGTGTGAGTAGGTAAGTGATAATCATTGATTGATACGTTATCTATCTTTGCCCGCCAATTCTTTTTTTTTCTCTCTTCTCTCTAAAAGGAGTAATCTCATGCACGACTTATCAAAGCCCCGGCGGTGTAATTGGAGCTTGGGCTTGTCTGGTCAGTGAGAAATGATTCAAATTAGTAACTTTCTCCGCACAACAATTGACATGGGGAAGGGAAGGAAAGCGATTTGACTGGTGAGAAATGTAATAAGTGTAGGGAAGTTGTGTAGGGGAGTGAAGAGACGTAAGAAAGAATCTTGAATCATGGGATTTGTTGAATGGAATGGATTGAATGGATTGAATGGATTGAATGCTCTGAATGCTCTGAATGCTCTGAATAGATTGATACATAAGCTTACAATCAATCTATTCCACTTAATCCCCATCTGGTGAATACTTTCTTCATTTGGAATTCTACAGGAAGTTTCCAAGTTCAAAGTCCAAGGTCCACGCACAATCAATCCACAGTCCAATATCCAATATCCAATATCCAACATCCAATATCCAAAAGTCTTTTGAGAATACTGGTAACAGTAACCACCATCGACCGTATGGATGAAAATGCGGGGCAAGTGTTCCAGTGGATCCATGGAATTCGACCTTTGAATTGAATCTTGGCTGCATGAAAAAATCTCTGGGTTTAACCCTCAACGGATGGTTGCATGGCATACTACATTGAATGGGGGTTGGATAGTTCATCTTACCACCCATTTGAAGATGCTGATCATTCTATGTAACGTATGATATTAATATTGAGAGGGAGGAAGGAAGGAAGGAAGGAAGGAAGAAGAAGGAGAAGGAGAAGGAGAAGAACTGGTAGTATATCTTTCCACTCGTTGTCATGGATGGGATCATTTGGGATGAGTTTCAGATAGGAGGACCAGATGGATGTTCATTTGATCTTTGGTATCGTGTCAGGATTGGTATTGGTCGTGATATCAATACCTAGGTAGTATCAATATCGACATCGGTATCAGTATCAGTATTTCTCGAGTCTCAACACCATCCATGAGGAAACAAAATAGTGGAGAACGTAGTCATCCATATCACGATACCAAAACCCAACTGATTGGAAATAAAGTCTAGTCTGGTCTGGTATCACCTATCTAGTATCTAGTATCTAGTATCTAGTATCTAGTATCTAGTATCTAGTAGCTAGTATCGAATATCGAGTAATTATCTATAAATTCCAGATAGATCAACTAATAGAAACGTCTCATCATCGTTCTCTCCTATCCACTCCATCTAACAACAACCCATTGATCTTTGATGTATCTACCTATGTATCTTACCCATCTAGATTCCCAGAGATAAATAATAATAATGATAACAATAACAACAACAATAATAATAATAATAATAATAATAATAATAATAATAATACAACTCGTTCTTGTCTCATCGTTTCATCGTTTTATCAGTCAATCGTTTATCGTTTATCGTCTCATCACCGCTCCATCCAATCCCATCCCCATATCTACACTACACATCACACCGATGATTCTCGCCCGGATTCCTGGTACCACATCAAATATCATAATCCATCCGGCCCTATTTTCCACCCTTCCCTTGTGTGTTTGTGATGATGGTTATGATTGTTGCAGCCGATGAATTATTTTCCCCTCCGTCCCTACTCACCTCATGATTGCCATCTGGCAATTCTGTATCTATCCGAAGAATGACCAGGTGATTTTTCTTTCTCTTTTCTCTGCACTCCGTTTACATCATTCGTATAAATAAGAATGAAGCTTTGGTGACTATGAATTGAATGGTCGAAAAATCCCTGATGTGCTGGATATTAGCTATCAATCCAATAGCTACTAGATACTCTACACTTATTAGTCCGCGCCCAAACCCAATTTAAGCATTTCGTTGGTCTGCTCGGTATTTCGATTTCTCTTTTTCGAGACTTTTGCCGTACTCCGCAGCATCCTCGGAATTGGCTGGCTTTCTTTACATCAGTCACAGAATAGGTATAGCTTCTAGGTAGATGTACCATAATCCCATAGCGACGAGACCGTCGTTCTCTGATAGGAAATGAACAGAGAGGACTCGTATCTAAAGTTCTGACTGCAGCACGCACCAGATCACGGAAGGTCCACCGGTTCTTACCACTGTCCCGAACTTTTCATCCTTCCATTCGATTTTCCATGGTCCAACCCATTAAAGGATTCAGAAATATGTACTGTACCTAGTCACTTACCAGCATTAATCCCGATAATCATAAGCAGGCATCGCAAGTATCGCCATCAGAACGCGCACAAGACATCAACCAGGATACTAAGTAGATAATCGCACAGGAAGCGATGACTGTAAATCTTCCATTCATTGGTTCTCTGGTCATCATAGTGTCTCACGCACAAATTTGAGTCCTCCGCTATGCCCATCCAAATCATTTCGATGCAAAGTCCACATACGAGCCACATTCATGATGTATCGCTGATCCCGAGCCTGATAGACGTCTATCATCATGTATGTATGTATGTATGTATGTATGTATGTGCACTCTCTCCATAAATGATAAGGCTCAACTCTTGAATCGCTGGGAATTTCACGGTAACAGGATCAATTCAATTCAATACAATTCAAATACAATACATACCCAGGCAATTCTAATAATCCGTTCCGATTTGCTATCCACTATCTTCGTACACCAGTATTCTATCAATCAATCCCTCCCATCCTCACCCATCCCAAGACAAAACTAGACTCCCAATGTTACAATCAACAAGTGGATCCCTCTCCAATGAGTCTCCATACATAAAACCTCACGTTCCCATCTCCAAAGCGATGTTACACCAACCCATACCATCTCATCCCATCCCATGATTCCCATCCCATCCCATACCATCCTCCTCAAATTCCCATTCCATAGATTTGGTGGTTCGTTTTGTTTGTACGTATGTATGTATGCATGATACTAAGCAGATAGTGGTAGTGATAGTTCACCGCTGTCCCTTCATTTCATATCCTGTCCTTGTATTTGTATCTACTTTACATCATTTGTATGTACGAGGTATGTATGTGTATATCCAATACAAATCAAATTCCAAATCACAAATGCAAAATACACACCCAGGACAAGACAGGATGGAAAAACAATAGCAAAAGCCCTAAGAGCGGAATTACATGACATAAATATGAATATGAAGATGAATAGGTATAAATGATGGTTGATACTTGATTGGGGAGTTTGGTATTGTATTATAAGGTTACTTACTGCCCAACACCATATATAGTACTAGTCAACTGCTATCAGCCGAAATCTATTTTCACATCAAAAATCGATATTTTGCTATATTTTTAAATTCAAAAATCTTTATAAATGATGATTTAAGTCTATTGGAACTTTGTTTTTATAAAATTTATATAATAAAAATTGATATTCTCAATATTTTAAAACCTAAGAGATTTTTAATATCAAAATTTATAAAATTGAATTAAAATATTAAAAAAGTTACTTGATTTTTGTTTATGTTACTAGTAAATGTTAGAGTTGGTACAAGGTAACAACTAATATAGGTATAGGCATAGGCCTAGAATAAGACTTTTCATTAATTCCTTTAAAAACTCTTTTTAAAACTATATATAACGTAATTTATTACCAAGTGGGCTATATCACCAAGTGGGCTACTTTCACCCCAATTCACATATTCAAATATATATAATTCAATAACAATTGAATTAATTAATTGAAATTATTAGAAATCTAATAATCTAGGATCTATTATATTATTTTAACAAATTCTTAAATTATAGCCTGATCTTCCACACTTACTATAACATTTATTAAAAAATACTTCCCTATTAGAATTTCCCCTATTTTAACACTTATCATATTGAATCTAAATATCAACCTTTTATTAAAATAATATATCTATTATTTTCTATTTAATAAATACTCCTTCTTGATATAATTGAATCTTTTTTACACGTTAATATTTGCTTAATACTTCATTTGCTTTTCGAAATAAACAATTTTCTATACTCAAAAGTGTATTCTTATAAACTAATCTCTCTATACCTTTAACTAGAACCAATAAAATTTCGAATATAGATATAAAAGAGCTTAAATAATATCAATCTATTCGAGATTTTATTAAAGTTGATTAAAAAAGGATTTTAATTGAATTATAAGAGGTTTGAAAAATCCAAA